ATATATATATATATATATATATATATATATATATATCGAATGTAATGAAACGAAAATAATATATAAATTCTAAAGTCCACAGCATTAATTCAAAAGAGGGCTCAATAGCGATAGCAGAGCAATAATTATTTATTATAATTTTAATATAGACAAAAAGAATTTACTCACAATAAAGATGCAATTTCGTTTCGGTAAAACTGAATGAACCGAAACGAATTTGTAAATATATATATATATATATATATATATATATATATATATTGTATCAAAATAAGTTTTCAAATTTGGGGGGCGGGTTCCTCACAACAAAACGCGAAGAAGAGTCCATGTAAACTTACGTACGTGTAAACCCTTTCTTTTTTGAGTTATGAAGTCTAATGAAATTTTACGATAGATGGCCCTGTGTTGCCATGTAGACTAGGTAACGTTTGTCATTCCACTACATTTTTAGCTAGTCTGTCTTCAACGTTTAACAAATGTAGTAGTGAGTTAAGTGAAAAGTGTTCCGTTTAACACTGGCAGAATATTTATATCGTAAGCAGGGAGATATGATTTTTACATACAGCCGCGCGAATGGTAATGGACGCGTGCCTGCGAGCCTGTTTCAGATTACGATTCCAGATCGAAGACAGGCGAATCATACAACATTTGCTACTGTTCATCGTCGCGTTGTTGAGATAGGATACGTGGCACAAATAAACTATGGATCGAAGGAAACTGAGATCCGCTAGTACGCCTGACCAAGAAAAATAAATTCTACAGGCTATCAGAGACGATCCAGGTATCAGCACATAAGTGGGGCTAGCATGTAGTACATCGCATTGTACCGCGGGGGTACTTCAAGAGCAATGCCTGTAACTGTATCATTTGCAACGTATCCATTCACACTCTGATCACTTAAAACGAGAGAACTTTTTTCCGATGGTTTATTACACCGGCCCGATATTTGTCTCTTTTTTACAGAGATTTTATTTCAAACCAACTTTTCAAACCTGCTAGGGGATGTACCCTTGCTAACACGAAGACGCATGTGGTTCATACATAATGGGGCTCCAGCATTTTATTCCCATTGTTCGCGACGCAAAAGCTGACATTTACCATGAAAAATCGATAGGTAGGAGATGACTGCTTCCATGGGTTGTACGGGTCCCTGAACACAGTCCTTTGGAATTCAATCTGTGGGGCCACTTAAAACAATTGGCTTATGCAGAAGTCTCTTCTTCACATGTATGTATGTATATATAAAAGCATGTGTGCGTGTGATATATATATATATATATATATATATATATATATATATATATATATATATGAGTTAAATTGTTCCATATCAGGAATAAAGCATATGTAAATATAAAAGCGGATACTGAAGTCAACATCCAGCGACGACAGACTTTTCCATGCTTAAACGCAATTCCTATTTCCACTTCCATATATATATATATATGTATATATATATATATATACACGCATTTGTATAGAAGTATTATTGCCCACAAAAAATTAAAGAAATGGCAGGGAATCCTGAGAAAATAGTTCAGAAAAATAATTATTACAATCTTCAAAGAGATGAAAAAGAGAGAATAATGAATTTTAATTTTATATACGGCATTTAATGTAAGTTAAATTATTTAAAAAATAATAAATTCGCCAGTATATGCATTGATGTACGAAAAATCCATGAATAACGATATCTAAAGATAAATATCACTGGCGTCAGCGCACCTTGACAGTATGGATATGTCCAGTCCGATAGAGTTTTATGATTTAAGATCTGATAAGTCAGTGTGAACATCGAGAAGGCTGGCCATGGCAACTCGATGTGAATTATCCGAGTTCGAACGGCGTATAATAATGGGTAACTGATGGATAAGACATTCTATTTCTTAAATCCTGGATAAATTTGACTTCTCACGATATTTAATGATACGTTTCCCTTCATCCTGATCATTTTCAACCGCTCATTAACTTCAGGGGCCACAACAACGTTTTGATTGCAGCAGGATCTTGACCGGAGTCATCGTGTCCACGTTGTCTAGAAGAAATTCGAGGAGCATCCTAGGGTCTTTCATTGTACATAAACCTAGTTGATCATTATGGGTGGTGGTAGAGAGGTACGTTTGCACAGACGATACTTCTCGTTGAAATATTAGGTATCTATGCACAAATATAGACGACATAGATCAACATCGGAGCCTCGTACCTTTGCTTAATTTCGGTAGGTTAGTGGGGATTATACAAAATAACAGGTACCTATCCCATTGCATTTTGCATGCCACTACATATATAATACATACAATAAGAATTTAAAATTACCTCATACCTGTGCTCATTTCACATTACCAGTTAAGATTCTCTTGCAAGGATTTTCAATCCGATTAAAAATGTATTACCTCCATCGATTTGAAAATCCTTGCAAGGGAATCTTAACTTGTAAGGTGAAATGACCATAACGACAAGGCAATTTTAAATTCCTATTGTATTTAATTTATAAGCTCTGTTATAATATATATATACTGAGCTTTCTTTGTGGATCATTTGTAATATTTTATATTATTAGGATTCACTTGGATAATGTACCAACGGATTATTACCTGTGTAATATATATATATATATATATATATATATATATATATATATATATATATATATATATATATATATATGATATTTATAACAGACAAAAACAATTTCCTCACTACAAAGATCTAACCTTGTTTCGGTGAATTTAGTTGCACTTCGACTGGTGCGAACTAAAGTGGTTAGGAACAATTATTAATAAACAGAATTGTTCATTACGTGTCAGTGCCTTTATTGCCTTGTTTGAGGTAAAATGGTAATATATAAATGCTATATATATATATATATATATATATATATATATATATATATATAAAACACACATAAACATAACAGATTCCATCCAAGACATACTAGTAGAAAATACAAGTATATCAATCTCATCCAAATGTAAAAAAAGATGAAAAATAATGGAAGTCCTAATAATGAAAAAGGAAAAACCCAACATTCAATAACATTAACTACGAACACGGCCATAATATGCTGACCATATTTGGAAAATAAACAATTCCAAAACTCTAGATACATGCATAATACAATCCATTCACTCAGTTAAATTTTAAAATAATATCATTTTTGATAATGGCTAAAAGTATAGCCGAAATGCACAATATTTGGACGTTTTCTACACTCCCTGTGTCCAAAAAAAGCTCTTGTTCGAGTTCAAGAAAAATTAAATAAACATCATATTCACGCTTTGTCAGTAGTCTTTAATGAAGCATGTATAAATGAGGAATTGCTGCCTAAATAAACAATATGTGTGTGTGTGCGCGTATATATATATATATATATATATATATATATATATATATATATATATAAATGAAAAAACACATTGTACATAGCAAGATCTCATTTATCGACGTTAAGAGCTAAAATCTAACGGATTTACCACTCAACCGTATAACAAAGCCACCAAGACGAACAATATAACGTATAAATTTCAATGCCCAGTACAAGACTCTGTTACTTGTCAAAAATCAATTATCTATATCGGACACAGTAGTACCTCTTAAAGTAGACGCCTTACATGTCATTTCGCGAAGCAAAGTGCGATTAATAAACATTTATTAAGACATAAGTTACAAGAATTTCAAAGGAAATTCAAGTCGACAGTAACAAAAGAAATTCTTTTCAAATCACGTAGTCATAGACATATTGTTATTAGAGAATGACTACTTATTAAATAATATTCCACTCTGATCAATCCTTCACTGTTTAGCAGTGGAGACTGCATGTTTTCTCAAAATAGAAGTGATGACCAGGTTAACCAGACGCGCATAACACGTGAGTGCCGAAAAAGGCATCCTTGACAATGGCTAGGGAACTAGACGAAAGCACTCGGAATAATAATAACTATGGACTATTTTTATATTCTTTAACCCCTGAAAAACGAAAATTAATTAATTAAATCTTTCTTGTCGAAACATGTATGAAAGAAAGGCTGCTGTCCAAATATTCCTCAATATATATATATATATATATATATATATATATATATATATATATATATATATATATATATATATATATATATATATATATATATATATATTGTTGGATAGATGTGAGTTTGTGAAGTACCGCGCATATAATATATAAATAATTATACATATATATATTTGAGGAATAAAAATATGGGATCATATTAAACATAAGATACAACAATATCTACGTTTAAAACATAAAATGTAAGGCGCCTTTCGACCGACACATTTTCAAACACAATCGTCGGTAATCTAAAACGGAGTACTAACAAGAAATTTTTTTATTAATACCGTAATAAAACAGGATGGTAAGGGGGGGAATTATTTTACCTCAAATCATGTAACCGTTCCCCCAAATAAGGCCAACTTAAACTTCATCTCCCGTTGTACGCAGAGGGCCGGCCTACGTATGTTGATCTGGTGTTTGTAGAACTGAGTATTCTCCCCATTTCTTTTCGGTATTGCACAGGGCTAGGAACAGACTCCACCTCGACATTTTGGAGTCTGTTATTATCAACATTTGTCGTTTACTCTCTTCACCGTTGTTAAAGTCTTCGCCTTTTGAATGAAAGTGATTTTCTGTTATAAAAATTTTCTTTTTTAAGCAATTTTTTTTTAATCAAAGCTATGAAAATATTCTCACAATATAGTTTTTGCTTCAGCTTGATTAGCTGCAAGCATTTTGTCTTTCTTTGAAATCTAAATATTTTGTTATTTGGAATCAGCTCTGAAATTAGAATTGAGTCTTGTAGTTTTCGCCTTTGTTCTTTGTGCAACGCAAGGAAATATTTACGTGGATGCATTTGAAGGCGAAATAAATTACTCTAATCGAAATAATCTTCATTTTAAAAATATGAAATGATAAACAGAAGTTATAAAGAAAAGAAAAAATGGTTTTGCTGAAGTTTGCAATTATTCTGACTCATTTTGAGATTTCTCACTTTCTTCTTATGCATTTCCTTCGACTTTTTTTATTTTCCTTTTTTCTTTTCTTTTATTATTACACATTTCCATTTACTATTTCCTTTCTCCAACTTTAATTTTTTTTTATTTTCTTTCATTTCCCTTCTTTGTTTATTTCTCTCTTTCTATATTATTTGTTTTCTTCTCCCAAACATTCTCTCTAGTGTTTTTATCCTTCATTTTAAGCCGTATTTCTTTTATTATTATTATTTCTTTCTTATCTCATATATTTAGAAAGCCACGAACAAATCATAAGAAAATAGGAACTACAGTCAAACTGCTGATAACTGACATTTTAATAACTGTGTAATTTTTAATCAGAAATTATAATAAAAATGATTACCTTTTAGATATCAAAATCCCCCAAAAATAATACTACAAATATCTATGAAACAATCACATTTAAAATAAGACATAAATGAAATAAGACTATATTTAATAGTTTGCTTCTTTTAAACACTTACATCTCATATACACAGAAACATGATTATCTATCTCAGTCCATTTATGTCTATCTCAGACAGTTTCTATCTTAGCCCGTTTATATCTCTCTATCTCAGCCGACTTATATCTATCTGTCTATCTTAGCCCGTTTATATCTCGCTATCTCAGTCAGCTTATATCTATCTATCTATCTATCTATCTATCTATCTATCTATCTTAACCCGTTTATATCTATCTATCTATCTATTTGTTTGTTTTTTGATCCTAAAATTTCGCTTATCCTTTACCTTTTTTTTCATTTTAAAATGATCTTCCTTGTTTTATCTTTTCTTTCTCTCATCCTCTATCTCAACAAGTTCTCGTGGAATCATAGAGAATTTTTCTGTAATAAAACACAATCCACTTGGCAACATGACATTCCACATAATTGCAGCCATGGAATTACACAAAACACTTCACTGCGTCGAAAAACAACTCGTTCTCTAGCCTTGGAAATCTAACAGAATTACACATGGCGCAATTCTTCAGAATAATTAGCTAGGATCACAAGATAATTACTGAATTCTATTGAGTCAGTTGCCAATCATTTTTTAAAACCGTATTTAGAGTTATGTAACCAGAAAGATATAACATCGAACTTTGTCAACGGGAACTAAATGTAAATAATGAGTATGAAGGACATATCTACGGCAGGAAACCTCAGGAGTATTTTTACCTGCATAAAATATATTTGCTTTTCTAAAGTATTTTATTCTCGCTCAGATTTCTGATATAGCCCTGAACCAAGATTAGCTTAAATTAATTCGAATCAACTTAGCCGCGTTCTTGAGTATTTACCAGCTGCGCTGCACAGGTAATGCCTACAATTGTCGAGGGAGATAATATAAAACTTAATAACAGCAATGTTGTTTCCTACTATATCCGTAATATCATTGTGCTATCGTATATGTAAATAAAATTTTGGCAATGCCTTTCACGGGCAGTTAATCGATACGAATTTATTAATAAAACGTATGCAGTATTTGGAATTATTAAAAGGGTGGTAAAAATAAGCTCAGAATTTTATGGCTTTGATCATTTAAATACGAAGCCCTAATTATTTATTTTTAATTTCCATTGGCTTAATTGTTTAAGTCCTTAATTCAGTATAATCTATCTTTGTATATAATCTACGTTGGTTGGGTACATTTTTTAACCCTGACTTAAAAAAAAATCTTCATAAGTGTTCCTTTATAAGAATTCACTTCTTATGGTATACAATGAACACTTAACTATGAATTATATTGATTCAGTAACCGTAGCAGTGTTAGAATCTGATTATAGAGGTCAGCTTCTTCCTGGAGGATCGATTTACAAGGAATTTCTATTGCAAACAAAACAGAACTCAAAATGTGTAAAGTACCCCCTCAGAATTTTTGATAATTTTTCAGTCCAATGTTGAAATTCATCCCGTATCTCTTCGTCAAAAGAATTTATTTTATTAAATAAATAAATGTTTGAAGAATAAAAAATTATAAATGTTAATGCCAGTTCCGAGTTTGGATTTTTTAAAAGAATTTTTCTCATTTTTTTTTCTTTTAACTGTTACATTATTTTTGCTATGGGTGCACACAAAACGCACAATTCTGATGCCTCATATTGGCTGATTACTATCAGAATCGGATGAATATCATGAATGTATCTAATCTCATATCTCCCGTTCAGTCAATTTGTTTTGTCTTGAAATCACATTCATCAGGACAGTTGTATTTTTGATTTCCTGTGTCTCTGTTTTCCTGCATTTATTTACAGAATATTGCATACAAGAATAACCAATACTTAATTCAGTAATGACATTTATAATTTTATTTTAATTCTTATTATTTAAAAAAAAAACTTGGTTTTATTTTTGCTGAATAAATTGTTCCCTTCATCACCAAGAAAAAAATAAGAATTACGAAAAAACTATTTCATTCGCATAAAAGAACTACATACATTTTTTCGAAAATGTACTCTTATATTAAAAGTATTAAATTATTCACATTATTACTCAAGTGCAAATAATAGGTATAAAAATGAAAAACCAATTAAATAATTTCAATGACTACTTTAAATTTAAACTCCAGTTCTATTTGAAAGACAATGGCCTAAAGCTAATCAAAATTAAAATAAAATTCATTTCCATATGGAAATGAACATTTTCAGCATTTAAGAAATATTTGTACATTTTTCCGTTACTCAAACCGCCATTTCACACGAAAGATGTATTCAACAAATTTCTTTAGCATTAAATTTATTCTAGAAATTTCGGAATTAAGTCATTGGTTTTGTTAAAGTGTTACCTGTCTTGTGCATAAAACAGATGAAAAATAACGTTTTAATTACACTAGGTACCCTGTCAGATCAAAGGTCAAAATAGAAATACAGTGATTTTACCCCTTGTCCGAAAAATACACGCGATAAAGTACAAATAAAAAAAGAAACATCAGAAATGCAATAATAAAGAATTTCTTATGTCTAAAAATGCATTTTCTTTAACCAATACTTTAAGAATATTTCTTTATTCTATTCACTTTTAGTAAACTTAATATAATGAATAAATTCGAATGAGATTGAATTCCCAAATACCTTATTTATATACGGAAATTAACAATCTCCTCAAAGATGAAGAAAGACTTGAAACAACAGAAATGTCCTACAGAAAGATTCTGAGAATACCATGGGAAGAACATGGAAACAAAAAGGACACTTATATTTAACATCAGGAAAAAGAGTGTTGAAAATTCTAGGGCACATAGTGAGGAAAGAAAGCTTCGAAAATTGTATACTCACAGGAGAGGTGTAAAGCAAGATGTACAGAGGAAAACAACGCATAATTTTCTTAGCGAGTTTGCATAAATGGACGACGGAACAAGGTTTAGAAGAGATAACAAAAAATATTAAGAGCTCAAAGGGGATGAAATTGTGGAGAGCCATGATCACGAACCTTTTGAAGGGACATGACACGTAGAAGAAGTAGAAGAACTATTAAGCTCATGAGGGATATAGTTGCATCTTCTGGTCGCATAGGCTAAAGCAAAAGTGCAGGATTGTGTCTTCAAAATATGCGTAAACTTCCAGTTTCTTCAACTTCTTCAAGGCTAGAAACGAGCACATACTGTAAGCCTACACTAATCTTGATGGGTCGTTATACCCTTAAATAGGGTCCATCCCTTGAACCCCTACTGAATCGGAAGCTCTCTTTCAACTTCGAATGGAACGCATATATTCGGTGCAATCGCAAAAAGATGTTGGAAGAATGGTCGGTTCCTTGAACCACTCCAAAAAATACTTAACTCCAGCGTTCCTGCTCTATCTTTACAAGAGACCTAGAATGGAGTATTGTTGCATATCGGGACTGGTCTATAAGACACGATAGAAGACAATTTGAAACAGCGACGCAAAGCAAAAATAACGTAAAGAGTAAAACAGTTATTCAATATCGAACACCAGATAATGACCGTCTTGAAAATGGAGAGAATCGTAGAGAACGGAGGAAACTTTCACTTGATTTCCTGTTTTTGATTTTTTTTTCTCAACACATGCTTTCCTTGTGAATAAATAATATGTAAAATAAATCTGTATAAAATTCAGTGTGTTCCACCAAAGTTTACTAACATGACATTTAGGCGGGTGTAAATTATAATAACCATTTCTTATACAAGCGGATTTGAACAGGTTAATTAGAAAGCGATGATTTCCCAAAAAACATTTGTAATAAAGGACGATATTAAAAACTCCTTTGTAAGTATGTATTTCAGATCATTTATTAAAATTTCTACCCATTTTAATGAGTTTCTATACAGGCATTTATTAATCTTTATATCGAATAGCACAGAATAATAAAGTAAAGAAAAGAAGCAGAAGAAATAGTTCTTTCCACGAATAACGCAAGTATAGAACGAAACATTCGGTTTCATATTATTTCTTGCATATTTTTCATGCTTCATTTTAAAAGGAAAATCATTTTCTACTTCATGTAATATTCGTTTTTTTCTTTTCCACTTCCTTCCCCACCCATACATATGCATGATGAATGTGAGTTAAATTTGATATGTGACGTCATTACGCTCTAATAGGAAATCAATATTTAATACAAGGCATCCAATCAATAAACTAGAAAATTACTGGGATAAAGCACAGTGACGAAGTATACGACAAGAAAACAGCATATATTTTAATCATTTCACTCAAATAAGGCGATAAAGTCACTAAGATACAAGGGTTTACTCAGAATAAAAGACACGAAAATAACAATAAAAGAACTGTTTTCAAGGACACGGAAGATGACGATCGACATTACATTTAGTTGTTTGAATATCAAAGTTGACAGGAAGGGTAAAAGATGGACGGGAGTTCTACAAGTGTAAAGACGGTTGGGTAGCACATTGAAATTTCACAGTGACATGTCTGTATTTTCTAGTATCATTTTTGACGTTAAATATACTGTAAAACAATTGATTTATAAAGATGAATTAGAATACCCATGCGCTTTAAAAAATTAGAGTCTAGCGCCTGGAGATTTTGCTGGCATTCCCGATTCGTCTTTGCTACATTTGTGAAAGATCTGGGGTGAAAGAAAATGATAGAACATCAAATAAAAAAGAAAAAGGATTTTACATTTAATTTGAACAAAACCAGTACAAAAATTAGGGTCCTCAGTTGCTGAGCTATTTGTGTTTGGGCTCGAAGTAAACAAAAGCTAAAATGAAATCTCTTTCTATGGGGATTCCGATTGTATGATGAAAACATTGCAACTATAGAAATGATTGTTATTTGTTTTAGTATAATTTCAACATACAACAAAAAAAAATCGCTAAGAAATTGGTTAACATACACTTTTATTTAATCTTTTCACCCCAAGCAAGGCAATAATGTCACTAAGACGACATGTGTCACTAGGAGTAAAACAGGATAAGAATAAGAATGAGGAGAAAGTATAATAGAACTGGTATCAGAAAAAGAAGATGGCGATTGACGTTCCAGTTTAATTTTTGAAGATCGTAGGTGACAGGGAAGGATAAACCAGAAGTGAGTTCCACAGGCAAGAAGTGTGAGAAACGAAACTATTAGAATAGGAATTAGGTTCCATAAGGCTACATCAACCGTAAAACGATGAGATCTAGTTGACAATTATCTGTTAAGTTTACGTGTTCAAGGTACAAAGAGGAGAGTTTTTCAGAAAACCGATATGAAAGTATTTATAGAAAAGACAGAGGGCATCCATGTTACGAAGATTGAAAAGTGACTGATGTCGAGATGCCAGGTCAAGACAGATAACATTACAGATCGATCTTTTGATATTGACCTCCAGTCAATGATAATAACTGCAGCACATAATATGATATATCAGCTCCTTCTCCGTCTTTTAAACGCTCAGAAATGTAGTCTGTGATGAAGAATTCATCTCACTATCTTCAATCAATGTGCCACGGCCATTCTCTCATGATGAACTTTATGAATCACTGGGAGACATCAATCTCAACAAAAGATCCAGTCCAACCCTTGTATTCTAGACTAAAAGAAAACAAAAACTTATTATATGGACGGGTAACTTTCCCTTGGTAGCGAAATAGGGAGATCGGTTTGCATTGACAGATTCTTGGTTTATTGCCACGATGCAAGTCGAGTGTAGAAATTTGGCATCTTTCAATGCACAGTAAATGAAACTAGTAATAGAGTCATCTAAAAGAAGACGGAGAACTTTAGCTCTTCCTAATGGTAAATGTGATGTTAGAGAATGATTTCTAAATATTGAATATCTTCATAAGTGCAGAAATAAATCACTTCCTAGAGCTCAAACAGTTTTTTTTAAAGATTTTAATATTTTAGGCTTCTGTACACAAAATACAATTAACTCTCAGGTATATTTCATCTAGCAGAAAGAACGAGAAAATATTTTCTTATAATTAGTGAAACGTTATCTTTTTAAATTGTATTAAATTTGGTAATGATTTTTGTCACAAAAAAATGTACAAACAGCAGAAGAATTATTCAATATTAATGACTGACGTTCTGCCTGTGGCAATGATTTGATTATTATTATTAAATGGCCATCAATATCGATTAGGCATAGACATTGCGAGTAATTAGGCATAGACATGGTGAATATTCTAAAATAGTTTTAACACAGTTTACAATATTAAATGAAATATATTATGAATCGTTTAAGATTCGATTGGCTGCAGTGACGGATTTCTTGATTGAAATTTATTTTCTTGTTCCATTTGTTTTGATTCCTTTGTAATTTACCTTCATTTTTTAAGAATCATTTTGTCTGAAAAGAACAATTCGACCACAGATGATAATACCAATGACGAAATTCAATGTAAAACTGGGTGCTGATGTTGAGTCTATTTACACAAGTATGGCTGCCAAGGTGTATCCTGATTGTCTAGAATAAAAACGTTTTGTTTTTTTTTTTAAATTCGAAATGAATATCGATAGAAGATTTCAGAACTGTTATTCTTATTTTACTGTTTTGTATTTTTCTGGGTCTTTTTTTATATCTATCCTTATTCCAATTGAATTTGACTTTCTTTCTCACCCAGTCCTGCGTTAACAAGCGTAAATGTTTGGAATCAGGTTTACATTCATTCACTTGTTGAATACAACTTTGACAATGGCTAAAAGCCAGACACAGAATAATGCGTTATTAAAGCATTATAATTTTATAATAATCAGAACGCCATGTTGGGAAGCTGACTTTTCTTAAAAATTATTTTCTTATTCTCACACATCAAAGAAACTACACAATACATTTTCAAACAAATGCAAGTTACTTCAGTTTACTAAATCGATTCTATATAAATTAAATAAATAAAATAAATACAAAACCTCAATAATTACAAAAACAAACAAAAAATCTCGCTATTGTCATTTAAAGATAATTTGTTCATATAATGTTCAATAAGCATAATAGTCAAGTTGTCGAGTGAAAAAAAAATATATAAATAGCTAACCATATATCCAAATCTGTGGATGTTTTATTCTCAAAAAATATTTTGTAATATTTTACTTTCATAAATGTCGTTCTTTTCTTATTTTCATAAGAAATACGCACTCACAAAAATGTTTAAGACTGATCCCCTCAACGAAATAGGTTTCATTTAAAGATTGGTTAGAGGGAAGAGGAAACCTGACTGTATTCCCAGTTATTTAATCATTGTGTTGCTGCAATTCGTTAGGTTTAAGTTGACCGACAAAATACCAGACACAAATCCTCTGACCTTTGCCTTGCTATATAAATATTGGTTTCTTGGTAGTGCCATTCTTATCCTAAACGACGGCGGATAACATTTAAATATATTAGAAAGAATTCTGGGAATATGGTAATGTTGAAATAAATTTAAAATTTTAGAAACTCTTCAATATTTTTTTGCGTTAATTTTTTACATACAACAGGAAAAGTTAGTTCACTAATGGCAACACAAGCGCAGACTGACGGCCTGAGCTTGTGTTGTCGTTATTGAAAAGCTACGTTAATACATTCTTGTGTAAAAACCTCTACAATGACAATCTTGCGCGAAATAAGAGTGATATCCAGGTCAATTTGTTACAGCGGTTGAGATTGGCTGAAAGGATATTTTTTACTATGCCTAATTTATTCCCATTTGTTTTCTGAATATTGTTTACTGACAAACCTTTCCCTAAAGACCAAATTAGAGAACTTAGACATCCAGGTATTACGATGTTTGGACGAATAAAGTTTTGACGCTAAATAAGCAATTTACCTTCACTACAGAAACCAGGAAGATCTGTGAATTTCTTGTAATAACAAATGTTTCATTATGGCTGTCTTATTACGTGTTAAAAGGCTCATATTTATTCCAAATGCTCATTTGTTTTAATATCCCATTAATAGTTAGCGTTTGCTTATTATATGCAGTCGACGTAAAGAATTAACAGAAGAAATTAATGTCTTCTTTCTGCACAAAATGTCCAATAAATGTTGTCGGTGTCAAACTTTTAGCAACGATGATGGATAATCAGATTAAAGCACATTGTGATTTTAAGTGCATGAAAATATGTCTGTTCGATACACCAGACTTGATTTTTGCCTGACTGATTTTCATTAAGTCATCTAAACATAATATTTGCTATAGTAATAATATTTTAACGATGATATTACGACAAAATACACGTACATTATGTTGCTCATACGCTTTGTAATGAGGAATTATTTATGTTTCCATGAAGATTGTTTCTCTGAGAAGCAACAAATACGTGTCCTTGTTTTTTGCTCTTTTTTTTTTTTTTTTTTTTTTAGGAATTGGCTGGTTACCTTTAATGCCTCAAAACGACACTGCTCTCTATTACTTATCGCAGGGAACCATCCCTGTCACCCACTAGAATATCTGATGCTCAACTCCACGAGAGCACCTCTTTACAACTGCTTGGTTTCACGCTGTCCACTGACCTGACATGGAACAATTACATTGAATCAATAGCTTCCTCCACCGCAAGGAAAGTTGGTTCTCTGTGTTGCGCCGAAATGTTTTCACTCCTGAGTCCATCCTTCAAATCTACAAATCAACCATTCACCCTTGCATGGAATCCCGCTGCCATATATGGGCCAGTTGTCCCCGCTGTTCGCTTTAAGGTCCTCGACAAGATCCAGAGACGGATAAGCAATGTGCTTGGTCCTGATCTGGCATCACGTCTTCAGTCGCTCTCTCACGGACGTGCCGTCGCCTCCCTCTGTCTTTTCTACCAATACTTTCACAGTAACTGCTCCGAGGAGCTACTTTTGCTAGTTCCAAGACTACATAAATTTAAGCGTGCTACCTGGTTAGCATCACAGTCCCACCTTTGCACCGGTTAGATGTGCCCGTCTCTTCTACTCCAATAGCTTCATGTCTCGCACCTCCCGTCTGTGGAATTCCCTCCCTATTACTTGTTTCCCTGATAGCTATAATCTCCTACTATTCAAATGTAATGTCAATCGACATCTCCAGATGCCCTGACATATCCCCTGTCCTTCTCTTTATCCTTTCCTCCATCACACCTTTTACTCTCTCTCCCACTCTTAACCCCCTGCATACTAGTGGCATCCCGCCTTGCTTGGCGTGAAATCCTTAAAAAAAAAGATACTACATAAAAATATCATCCTACTATCGCGTTCAAATATAAAATATCTGTTGATATTCTACCTTTTAATCTAAAGTTATAATTAAGAGTCTTAATCAGAAATAGATAGCATATTTCAAATATCGACTTATGGAGAATCTGCGATGTCATAAAAAGCAATGTCATCGTTATTGTTGTTCACTTTTCCTACTTGAATCAAAGTATTTATTTAATTAATCTGGTTATATTTATGGCATAAAACCAAAGGGGAAATTAGGGAAAGGTTGGTCAAAACTGTCTATCATACACCTAATTAATCCGACTCACGACCCATTCGCTATACCAATTTCCCCAATCACCACAAGAATCCATTCTTCTCCAATCAATCCAGCGTGTACCACAATTCCACATCTTGGATCCTAATAAAACATGCACGATTTTAAAATTCCTTCATGTATACAAATAATTAATTTTAATTTTTTCCAGAAATTAAGAATAATTTACGCATGGAATGAAGTGGGTTGAATTCAGTATTAAAATTAAAAGAAAAAAACATTCAAACAGAAATTTTTTTTCTATTTGAATCAAAGTGATTGCAAGAATGTTCAATTCATATTTTCAAGGTATATATATATTCTAGATTTCGAATATTTGTGAAATCCATACTTTCTACTTCATATTTCCGTTTGTTGGTATCATGCCTAAATGTGGCAACAACATTTTCAATTTAAATACTTTAGACGCAGATGGAGAATAATCATATCGCATAGATTAATAAAAGCAACAATTCTAAACTCAACGTTTTTTTTTCCAAATCTTGGAATTTCTTTTGTAAAAATAAAGATCTAGCCAATTTATTATAAGTCCATACGCAGAAACTATCCCTTTTGTTATTAAATATAAAGAAAGTGGGTGATGAATTTGCTCAATAAATAATTGTCATCGAATATGAAATATAATTCAAATGCTCTGAAATATTAAATGTTTTTTTTTGCGGTTTTATCATTTTTCTCCTTGAGGTTATTTATATTCGTTTGATTATGAGATTTAGTTACAATATGCCTGGCTACGTCGTTCTGATAACACGTAGAAGATGAAAGACGTTTGATAAGTTTTAACTTAAGTTTTCCACGTAAATAATCTGCAAAACGTTGATTCTATGTCAAGAAATTAAGGTATTATCATTTCATCAGTTATCAACTCTTGAGATTCTAATTTATGATCGAAATTCGCTTATTTTATCGTCTGTTTTTAAATCAACGACGCTATTACTTATTACTGTTATATCAAACCTAAGTTTATTTATAGAGACGGTCGATTTTTACCTTTTATATATAACCATCTAATGGCAAAATTAAATTACGAGCAATCAAAACACTTTATTGATTTTTCAAAATCTCATTTGTAATGAGGTTTTCAAAGTTGAGTGTAAAGTATTATATACAAG